TAATGGTCTTCAAAATATGTTCTAAGTATTTAGCCCCCCTCCCTCATGTTATTAAAAGAGTTTCTATTCTACCTCGTTATTTCATACTATTTACCTCTACTTAAATGGGGTGTGCGATAGACTTACCTCCACGTAGTGCACCCTGGGCAACGTATACTTATACGACAAAAAGTTTATTTATCGGTAATTGACTTCTGACTTCAAACTATTATGACCTGACTCTGTCATATTCGACCCCTTTCACAGTACTCATCTTACCTTTTCTCTGCCTTTGTGTGTCTGTCTCTGTCACATCTGTTAATCATTATTCTGTCCCCCCACCCGCTCGACATTTTGTCACTTTGATGTTCCTCCTCTCTGTAAAGCCCGAAGTTGGTTAAAGGGCTAATGATTACTTTCAAATCGCCTGCCATTTGAGATAAATACTTCTACTTAAATAATCTTAGTAGCACGCTTTCCTTCAATTTTATACTTGGTATACTTGGACTATTAAGCGGGTGTTATATTTCCCCGATCGGGTTATGATTTTATAATCACTTAATTACAATTAAGACAATTTCCAGATAAATAACGATGGGAAAAGTGGAGGTGAAATATTTGCCTAGTTTTACTATCAATTCATTCTACCTTAGATTCTTTAAAGTAAAATTAGGAATAACAGTTGTGGATAATAGTGAGATGATATTGTATGTTTCATTTATTAAAAACGATTAAGTCCAAGTTTACTTCTTTTTCACTACCTAGTGTAAAGGTTTAGATATATCTTGCACTGTTTGGATCATTATTAGTTTAAGTAGACACTAGAGTAGATTGACATAGTTCTTAGTGGCTTCGGTCAGACGTAGGCGGAATGACCATCTGGTCTCATCACTTGCCATCTTTGTGCCTTTTGGTAATTGTTTGCGTATTTCACACATCCTATAGACTTTACTCCCTTGACCAACATTTCGCACTCGATTTGTGCTTACATTCACCTTCTGATCTTTCGAATAGTCAATTCCAATTTTCAGTTACACAATTTCTTCCTGGTGCCCGGTATGACTTTGGCTCTTTACTCAACTTCGGGACTTTCGATTTGGGGTGGTGGGCTGTTTTTTCTGCTTGCTATTTGAGAAACGCTTGGATTTGTGAGAGGAAATTTCCAGACTCAACCTAATTGGAATTTACTACTAATTTGTGGCACTCTTCAAGCAATACTATTTTTGGAAGGTAATTGCATTCGAGCTCACACATGAGAGTCTTAAAGCTGGCTTCACACAAATAATTGCCATCTGACATGATAGGAATTGTAAGCACTTTTATTGTGGTGGGGGCCATCTTGACTAATGTAGGAGAAGAGAGCCACCACTACCTTCTTCGTACAATATGGCAAAAGAACATCCAATTCGCTGGTTACTAATAAGGCAGAATACTAAATGAGTCGTACGCAAATGTGGTTATGCACGGGGCAAATGCAACTTCCACCTCGGGTGCTGAGATGTTATTGCACGATTCGAACGCGCAAAACTAGTCCAAGCTGAATCTCCCTATTACAGCTCAGAAAGGCCAATTCAAATTTTGCGACAACTTTATTGCTTTGAAAGGAAGAAAAATGGGGTTGGGGGGAAGGCTGGAAGGGGGGGGGGGGGAGGGGAGAAACCGCAAAGTTAGGCAATGCAATCGAAACGACGACCACGGTTAGACACATGAGAAAAGGGGGGTGGGGGTAAGAAAAGAGAATGCACACGCTAGCATTTTGATCAACATAAAGAATGGGAGCGCGAGAGAGTGTGAGTGAGGGAACACCATTAGCTATAGCTCCGGTGACGTGCACACAACAAAGGCCGATTAGAGGTGTAGAGAGATTGAGCCTAGTGGCAACCAAAAGGAAATCGATCTATATTTACAAATAAGTGGAAGTGGACGAAATTAAAAGCTCATCACTAAATAAAAAAGGGGCAAGAGAAACTGATCACCAACTCCAAGAAGAAGCCCTAACCGTGTGATGGCCGAAAAACGAAACTCATTAACAGGGGACCAGGAGTAGAAGCAATGCACGAATTGATTCGATAGTTATAAGCATCTTTTAGTAGGAAGCGATACGAATCCACAAGAACGCAAGAAGAGTAGATATTGTAATAATTCCTAGGTAAAGAGAAGCAAATGCTCAACACACGAAAGGGGTGCAGATTTAAAGAGAGGTATATTGAATAGGAGAACAGAGGAAGGAGGGGGGGGGGTGGACAGAGAGATGACAGATTGCCATGTGACGGGAGCTGGAAAGAAGGGAGAGAGAGAGAAAGAAAGAGGGAGATAGCGAAAGAACACTCCACCCCTCATTTGTTGTGGCTACTTGACTGTTCGCCAACATTGGGGCCCTCTCCGGGTTCAGTGTGAGAGGCCTCGTGGCCTCCCTTCTGTTTGGTTCTAGTCTTGCGAGCAAATGATGGCAACTTGAAACGACGCTTCTTCTTTTGTTTCTTCTACAAGAGATTATAAAGTGACTTCACTGTAAAGGAATGGAAGAACAGCAGTTCTCATTCTTCTTGACTATGATATCTTCGGTTAGTCAATTCATTCACCGTGTCATGCTATGAGTCAAAGAAGTGCGCAACACTGGTTAGGGTGACCGGAATTAAAATCATGGAAATACCAAACTTTTCAAAAGAATTAGAGAGAAATTGCCTTTACCTTATCTTGAGCCATAGACTTGCTTACCTCAGTAGCATGTGATTCCTCCAGTTCACTTGTTTCCGAAGTCATAGTGCCAGCTGGTGGTGGAGAAAGATAAGATCCTAGAGAAAAGATGCACAGGTTAATGAAATTTAAGTCACTACATTGCTTAATCATCATAGTGTATCGTCAAATTATCCATTTGCCGACACAGTAGAATACTATGTGAGCCCGTCTGCTTTTAGCATTTATTTCCCAGTACATCACAGCCGTTGCTACGTAGTGCTAACTTACAGTGATCATTCTACTAATATTGGTTCACCAGTAGTAATAGATCCCCGAAGAAGCTTATTCGATAACTCTAGCTTATTAATGGAGGAAAGCTGTTATTGGGACAAAATAAAAGTCATATTCAACGCATTGACTTTGCACTAGAGAATCGAAAACATCCTAAAAATGCGTAAATTTTTGGACTGAGACTGAAGGCCTTCGACCCTGTGACAAGGAGTCAACTGTATGAAAAAACGGGCTGAAAATCAATACCAAATAGCTTGGAACTAGGACAAGCAGTTCAGCAGCTGCAAGACAGCCTCGCAAATCAAACAGCTCGAACAAATTTAATGCAAAGCAAATATAACAATAGAGCGACTAAGCAAGTTAAGGTAAGAATAGATACCAGTGACATAAGTTGTTTCATGCAGTTCAGAGTCGCTGAAGATATTAGAGCTGGCACCAGCTCGAGCAGAGGGTGATTGTGCATGACCAGTAGCTGAAATTAAAGGATAAGCAAAATTTCGCGAAAATATGATTGCATCACAAAAGCGCACTACTACTAATTGGGATTAAGTAGTAGCCTGGATGGAGACACGAACCTTTAGATTCAACTGAAGTTTTAGTAGCAGCCTGTTCAGTTTCTTGTTGACGCAGCCACTCTTCATAGAGTGCTGGATTGTTCTTTAACTCAATTTCGCGTTTATAAGCATCTAATTCCTCGTCGGTGACTTGACCAAATGGATTCTGCTTCGTGTAGACAGCCTAAAATGTACATGAGATTTGCAATTTGACACAGAACTTCAATGGAAAACATTTAAAAACATTTTCGACTAACATCATAGACGACGGCAGCATCTCGTACATCACGATGAAGTATCGCCTTACTGGCGGCAGCGACAGTGAAATTGGTGTCGGGGAGGGAGGTAGAGACAGCGCCAGGTCCAAGAGCCTTGGTTAGAGCCTCATCTCGAATACGTCGAGCTTCGTCCCATGTCAAACCCTCCAACAGACGTGATTGTGGGCCGGCTGTGTTGGTATCCTTGTAATACTTCTCCCGGACCTACAAGCGTAAATAAAATATACTAGCTTGATGAAATATAAGCACAACTCTAAAAGGAACAAACAATTTGGCAAGAGTCAGTGACAATGAGAGGCCCATAAAGCTGAAAGAAAGGTAAACAAATGACCTACTATCAGATGTTACGGAGAGTGTATGATACTAGTGCATAACCTTGTTGCTTGTAGTATTCTTAATGCTCTAAATTAAGTTCACAATTCTTAACATTAATACATTTCAAATACAAAATCGTTCCCCCATTGCCTGTTTCACTCAACATTCAATCCCATGTTTTCCCAATAGGACCTTTCTCGAGCATGTATAACTACAGATTTGCAAATGGAAAAAATCGGGGATCTAGTTTTTCCCCGTCATTTACAGTGCTATTTTTACGTAATTTCCCATGCTAATGATAACAAGAAAAAGCGATTAATGCAAATGCTAAATCATACACACATGACCAAAAACGTAAATGGAATAACAAAATATACCCTTGATTCATTCCATAAGTAGTTGCTCCAAAAATAACGCAACGGTTTCAGAGTCTACCCTAACACAAATTTTACCCGATAGTGCTTCTATATTGAGTTCATAAACTCTTAAAGAACAGTATTACACTCAAAAGAGCACTAAAGTTCCGACACAAATTGTTTCATATACTTCAAAAGTTTTTATACGTTCGTATTTATTCTTGTGTACCGATTCTGGTCAATACAATAGCACATATAAGCATACTTGCATAAAGCGTGCATTACAAGTTTTAAAACGGTTGGCTGGTTGGCTCTTGCCAGAACGCACGATACAAAACCGTCAGAGGGTGTATTGATTAGTCAGGCCAGTGTACGTTCACTACTTGGCTCGCTGGATGGCTAAGGTCTACATGCAAGCCTACCCGTGCACATACACGCTTCTACACAAACACAAATGTATGGGCGCAGTAGAGCGCTCCAATGCTACCTTCGTGCCGTGATCTCGCACCATTTTGATTGGTTAAAGAAGGAAATAAGAGAGAATAAATGGGAGGGATATTATATAAGCCAATTAAAATGTCAACCAATCGCAGGTTTTAAGACAAATTGAGGCTCAAGACATTTAAAGCCCTGAGAACAATGATTACTACAATTATTGACTAAGAGAAATGGCCTTAAATGGGTGTCACAGTACGTGCGTCCTTCAAAAGAAACTATTGTCATTAAGGTAAACATTATGTCGTCGATGTACCAGAGTCCACTATAAATCAGGACGAAATAAACACAAATCGCATGTGAATGCACAATTGTGAATTTCGGGTGATTAAAAGTGATCCGAAATGAACAAAAAAAAACAAATTGTCACAACACCGATGCAGATTAAAATGCAGATACTCCAATTCATTGTTTTAAATTGCCCAAGCAGTTTTGGTAAATAGGACATTTTGAAAACTGCGCCTTAAGTGAACCTCATGCTCGACTGACATAGTAGCGAAACAAAAAAAACAGAACACAAACTGTTCTTTGAAGTTCCCAATTAACAATAGTTAAATGGTTCACGTTGAACCCATCCAAATATAATTTTTGTCACAAGAGAAATCAAGGCTCATACTGTAGCAAAGAGAAAGATTACTAATCTTAACAAAACACCAGAAGTGGGAATGGGTGACGCATTGGCAAAAAACGTGAAACAGATTCAGAGGACATAAGTGAAATTACGTCACGATTATGTAAATTTAGGTACATTATGTCAATTACAACTGCACTTGACGTTGTGGCTCAAATGGAGCTTATGAGAGATCGTATACCACAACAAGAAAAGCCCCTACCCCCCCCCCTTCTCAATGGCTTAAATAACAAACACTGATTCTTTGTTTAGAATAGCTGCCAAAGCATTATCTGCAGCATGCGAGTTTACAATTCTGAATCTAAGGCAGACAAAATCTCTGAAATGAAAAAAATAACGCCAAGAATTAAAATGGACGTCATTAGGAAACGTTGACAATTAAATTGAATTATTTATAAAACATGAACTTTGCTTTGATGATCCACAAAACTGAGTGTCGACAAGATGAATCTCACTTACAGTAATTCTAATAACAAAAATAGAAGCGTAAATGAGTTTTTCATACTTATACTAGGAAGCATTGCCCATTGTTTCGCTATTGTTTTCAATTACTACCCAAGAGATGTATCCTTACTTACTGCAAAAGCTGATGTTAAGGGTGTATTGTGAGGAATAGTAAACACATTCAAGTGATGTAGAACATCTGAAAAATGACCAGCAAAAAATGAACCCAAAATGAAATGAAATCAGCATTGAAGAATGCAATCAAAAGAGAAACAGTCTAATCCAACCGGCTTCTGTGCAGGCAGCAAAAAACGTACTCAAAAATGAAGATTTTATCAAATTGTGCTAAAATACGGACCTTCTTTTGATGTTCCTTTAATTCCTTGGGGTCATCACCCTGTGGAGCGAAGCGATTGAAGCTAAGACCACTAGAGGGCGTGTTGCTTTGAGCTCCAGTGGTGCCGAGAGGAATGGCAGCCGGAGTTAGAGGGTGGAATGGAGTGGGTGGTGGAAGCCTTCCACTAGAGATTTCACGTTGAAGAGTGGCCTCACGACTTGACACCCAATGGGACACCGGTTGCTGACGACCGGGCAGTGTGGATACCTCCTTCGTGTAGCTATTGGGGGTGTTTAACCACTTCTGGTCCGACCATTGTCGACGCAGAGTTCTGGAAATAGTGTAACGAGATATCAGCTAGTCGAAATATCACCCGTTTTAACGTAGAAAATTTGTATCAAGATAGTTTTTTATAACCCTCAATACAGCAAGAGTTATCTAGGATAAAAGACATTCTCTGAAGAGAAAAGGATGAAGTACCAACAAGTAATTTTGAAAGGTGTGCGCCGTTTTGTCTGACTCACCATAGATTAGATCAATAAATAAATAATAAGCAGCTGGGGCCAAGATAATTACTGGAATAAATTAATTCGCTCAGCTGTAAATGTCAGTGACTTCTTAATTGGTTGCTTGGCTCATGTGGACAAGATAGGATACGTGCTTAACAAAGTCGATTGCTTGGAAACAATCTGGAAATTCCCTCAAGCATTTTAAAAATTTCATTAAAGAAAAGACAAAGGATAGGGAAAAATGTGGCATAGAATCGGTATATAACATTTTTGTGAATTGAGACAATCAAAATGTGGTGAATTACACCGTAGTTCAGTGCAGATAACCACTCCTTACAGTAATGCGGATGGCTTACACCAATAGTAAAAGGACTGCAGATTTACGAACACAGTAGATTCACAGAAACGGCGAAAAACGAAGAAAGTAGTAAAGATGTGGAAGTAAAGTAAATATCATGGAAAAACAGCCCTAACTCCTGCCAATATTTGAAGCTAAAAGCTAAGCAAAGGTGCGTTCTAACACTTAAAAAAATGAAACATTATTTCGATCATTTTCAAAGATAAGAAAATTGTCCACAAGCTGCTTTCCAGAGAATTAACCGCTAAGACGACAATGACTAGCGAAAAACATTGACGAGTCTGAAGGAAATGATGAATCGCACTCAAAGGAAGCCTTTAAGACACATCTTAAAACCCAATTCTGAAGGTAACAGTAATGAACCAAATGAAATACCCAGGTCTTGGAGCATCCGATTCATCACAAGAGAAGGCACCAGCATCATCGTAGTACTGAGCCATTGTGGTGGCAACGGACGAAGTAAACGGTGGAATTTCAACATCCTCGAATCGTCTACTTCCAGCAATTGCTCCAGATCTATCCAACGTTCTTCGTGATGGCCGCGGACTTACCGCTGCATCCTAAAATTGATAAAAGAGCAGTAGTTGCAGGACTTTTGAGTTAATTTACATAAATCAACGTTATAGATGATTTTCAAACTGATAAAGTTCTTTGCAACAACAATTGTGGAAAAAGGATGGCTAAAAAAATCGCATGAAAGATAACCACCCAGATTTGCCTTATGAAAGAGCAGTTGGCCTACTAATTCGTTAGTTCAGATGCAGTAGGGTTCACCTGATTCTAACTTCTCGAATCTACCGTATGGAGTCGCTTTTGGATTCACTCAAATTCTTTTTCCTTCTGTGTGCAATGAAATACACAAAGCATGCTATTAGTTTAAGTTTAAGCTATGAGAAAAAGAATAAATATCCTGTTAGACACAAGCTTGAACCTACGCCATCTGACGACTCTCAAGCCACGCGGAAAGAAATACTGCAATCCAATCCACCTTAAGATGTGCTTTGCACGACAGTTAAGGTAATTTTAAATTAATACTTTTGGGGTACAAAAGAACTCAATATCTGAGGGTTTCGAATTGCATGAAAAATTCTTACCGATAAACCACGAAGGCCATGGGAAATAATGCATCTAATGTATACTGAAAAGCTCAGATTGATGAGATTTAGTAGAACACTGAACAAAATGCCAATAAAAACGTTAAATTACGCAGTTCAACGCGCTGAAACTCTCCAATTCGCATTAAGGTATCTTTTTTAAAAATATGCTTTTCTTTTTCGAATCGATTCATAGACACAAATGTGAAAAAGCTAATTACATGGTTAACATCGACGTCCTTTTCCCCATTATCTGATATCGTAAAATGTAAATTAAGGCAAAAGCCTAAAGTAGAGTCGACCTTACCCTCAAATAGATCCATGCAGTTTTATGAGGTTGCAGTATTTTCAGAATGATGCAGCACCAGGCACGCTAAGCATTTACTATTCACTCTCCGACACATTTTAAAGCAAAGACCAAACTGGCGCGATTTAATGGGAAAAGACTAACTGGTATTCTCAAGTATTATAAATTAACCCAACTTAGCGTAAATGATAGAGGAAAGACAAACTGTGTACCAAAAATGTGAACCAAGAAACTAAATATTTCTGAGTAAAAAGACCCTGAGAAATTTGTGAATTTCGTCGCCAATGCATAAACTGACGATGCTTCTTTGACTTCAATTTTCCAGAGGCAAAAGTAAAATAGTAGTGCAAAATAAGTATAAGTGGTAGCCAGAAATTGACAACTTTACTGACTTGTCGATATATGTGGCCTGTTCTGTAACCAGCATTATCCAAGTGCCTCATAAGAGCCTCAAATTCCAGTTCACCAAGACGCCATGGTCGCGCCGGTGCAGAGGTATGAGCAGCAAGGGACGAGTCAGAGAGATACCCAGCGTCTCCAGCTGCAGAACCATTTTGACGAGACAGTGAGAGAGTGCGAGCATGGACCAGACGAATAGCCATTGCTGCTTCGGGTCCTGAAACACCACCCAAGTCAGTTGTGCGCCAAGCTTCGTATGCTCGTTTTTGAACTTGCTCATCAGGCAGCACTAGATGGTCCACACCAAGGGAAGCCAGTCGCAACTGAAAGAGGAAGCCGATTTGATAATAAAACTTTTAATAGTTGCAAAATGAAAGCCTTTCGTTTACGTCAAAACCTTCACTGTAAGCCGATATCTATCAATGAGTTGCGTGGAACGATGCCATATAACCTTAATCAGGGACCATAAATACAACACTAATCATGTACGACCAATCAAAGGATAAATCTGACTAAGATTATGAAGGGAAGATAGGATAGCATATGATGCACCACTGATAGTATTATTAAAGAAGGCGCATTGGGATAAGCAAACAACATATAATACCAGGAAAGTGAATTAAAAAAAGTTTTACCACAAAAAAACAGATTTCAATATCGCGATGTTAAATTTACTACCAAGCTGATAAAAAGGCTCAGAACTAATGTTAAAAATTCTCTGATATTCCAACAATATCAGTGACATAACTGAGACCACTTGTTAATTATGCAATACATAAGGGATAAAAGCTTGGGCCCATTGAACGAATAGAAAAATAGCCGAACATTTATCGTTACATTGCAAGTCAAATTAGAACGCGTTTACACAACGCACATCTCGTAAACAATCTCCCTCATAAACAAAAGAATCAAAGAAGCCTACCTGAGTTTCACAGGCCACAACAGCGTTTGTGGCGTAATGCCAGGCTTCCTCGATAGTCTCTCCCAGAGCAAAAAGACCGCGACAGCGAACAAAGAGAATGTGAGTGTCCTGCCCAATAACTTTGCTCAACGCAGCTCTTTCGGCATGTAAATCGGCCGCAACAAGCGATGTAGGAGCTGTACCGCTAGCAGCTTCGTTTGCGTCGCCAGGCAATGAGTGTTGGGAGGTGTAGTAAGCTACTTCTCCTAAAATTATTGCTTGCTGAGACAAGGGCAGAAGACCCGTTTTCATGCAAGACACCTAAAAAAGAGAAAGGAGTAATCATAGTAAAAAGATCTCCGGACAAAAGTTGCAACAATGACTAACAGCAATCGTAGCAGGTGTTCCCAAGTGAACAACGCATCGAATATCAGGACGAGTTGAATGCAAAGCGGAGTGAAAGAGCCAACCTGCTTGATCAACTTCAAGGACAGTGGATCCAGGGTCGAGAACTATGCCTTGACTGTCAACCTTAATTAGAGAAGAAGCAGTCACCTCGTGATAGAGCAATCCGAAAGGGTTAATGAGAAAGTGCTCATCATTTCGGTTGATTCTAACGGTAGCATGATTATAGATACTGGTATTCCAACCGAAGAGCTCAATTAATCGATAAACACATGCTAGTTTGCATCGATATATGCGTTCGCGACGAGAATAGAGACCTGTATCGGAACCACGCAAGTCATTGATAGGGATGATTCCATTTTGGTGACCTAGAAACAAACTTATATATTGCACATTCACAAATGGGGAGATGAAAATTAATATAGGATATTAGCATACTTTTGGTGAATCCTCCACCAGTAAGAGGGCGTTTACCAGGAATTGTTGAAAAAAGATCAGCAATATGCTGCAGTGATAGGAGACTAGAATTCAAGCCAGTTGATTCTTGTGATCGAAGATAGTTTTCAATAATTTCTTCAAGTTCCTTGCGAAAAGTTTCAGATTTCAAAACAACAGAAACACGACGACGCTCAGACATTAAAGTTAGATCCTCTTTGATTTCAGCAGGTCTCATGAGCTGCCGCCTGTACTCAGGATCATCGGGGTCTAAGACGAGAAATATCAAGTAATTTTGCTAATTACCTATGGTATTTATGAATTTTTCTGGATTATCAGCAAACCCGTTTTCAACAACTGCCATTTCGCTTGGGAAGATAAAATCGACCGATTAACTCAAATCAGAAAACTGCCAAACAATTTAAAAAATGCCCAAGAAAAGAGCGAGCAGATGAGAGGCTCGCAAATCGTAACCGCCATACGCCAACGTATAGCAAATTAGCCCATACAAATATTTTATATAAAAATATAACACTTTAATAGATTTTCAAAAGCACTTTATTTAATCACCTGAAATTAACTTAAATGGTTCCATTATACTGTTTAAATTTTCACCCATGTTTAATATATTTTCTAATATTTTTTTAAAGTAATTCAAATATCATGAATAAGTAACCTTGTAATATTTTTTGGATCAATGAATTATATGCCTTTTGACATCGTACAAGCCTTTAAGCAGAGAATTATGGAAAAATATGTATTGCTTCAAAGTTCTCGGCCGGGATAAGGCAGAATCTCTTTGTATATATATGTTTAAGTTATTTTGAAATATTTTCCATTTGGACGTCGATATTTTAGTCTCATAAGATTAAACATAAAGACGTTTTACTGAATGGGCATAAATGGTTCTTTAAAGAGGTAAAATTTTTATGGAATATCCTAATTCAAGAAGTAGATAACAACTTCTTTCCGGGCACGATAATATTTTATTTAACTACCCACAAATACGTGATTTTTAAGGTTTATTGATAGGAATTCCATACTTAAGCCTTGTCCCCTTTACTCTCACTTTGTTTACAAAAATTAAGTAGAGGTCTAAAATAGACCATCTGCCCTAAAATCCTATCATTGAATCTAATCTTCTAAACTGGGTTTATGAAACCTCTACAGACTGACTTGAAATATCAAATTGCACGAGGATCTCACAAAAAAGAGATTAGTCTGCCTACATTTCACTTTTCTATCAATGCTAACTATTCCTTGAACAAAATATGGAGACATCCCCCCCCCCCCCCCCAATTAATCTCCCAAACTAAAGTCCTTTAGATTAAATTGAAATTAAAGGAGCTAAATATTTAACCACTATTATTCCAGAACTTTAATTCTGATTTGGATAAAAAGTCAATAATATTGAAAATTTAATAATATTTCAGTAATTGAATTCGATTAAATTTTAATTTTTTGAGAAAATTGAATGATGAAGTTGAAATTGATTTCATGTTCACCCCTTACAGCTTCATCATAAAATCCGATCTAGAATAAAACAAAATGGATAGTTAAAATGCATATATAATTAATTTTTTTACTTCTATCTATATAAAACATTTGAATTATTCTGACTTGCTGTTCGGGGCGTCGCTTGAATATCAATGGTGAAAAAAATGATAAATGTAAAGCTACTTCTGAAAAACTATTTAATGCATATAATGTTAGCATTAATAAAACAATTAAAATTACGTAAATATTTTAAACCTATATTGACAATACTGTTGTCCAAATTTGAGTTAACTGCTAATTATTATTCTCCTAATTTAATTCAATGTAGCAGTTTAAGTTAATAAACAAAGATAGGAATTTACGAAGAGCACTTACTGCAATTTGAATAGAAGTATATTTTGTTTGGCCACTTTAACTAAAATTAAAATTCAAACAAATGCAGCATAATTGATGATAAAAAGACAATTCCAAACTATTGACCTGTTAGAGTTTACTTAAAATATTTCAAATTAATTTTAAAATCAAGTTGTTGGATCTTCATACTTCTGGTTATATTAACTTAGTTTTCAGATATTGGCGAGACAGTTGTGGGAGCAATGAATTTGTTAAATCCTAACCTTTATTTCAAACGTTCGTCGAAAAACGGACGCTTTTCCACACTCACAGCTGTCAAAATGGGAAGAGTTTTGCCTTTTTCTTAGCGTTTATTGCATCTAATTAGCGCCATTAGGCGATGAACATGTAGCGATTTTGGTACCTACTGGACATTTGTTTCAGCTTTTCTGTCTTTTATACTTATTTTCGCATGTAAATCACCACCTGGGCCCTAAATAGCTTGTAAATTTTTCTCCGCCTTTAAAATCCTATTCAGCCACTGGTTTCTAGGCTGTTACATTATTTTTAACATTTTATTTTGAATATTCCAACTCCACTTCACTCACCTTATCTACCCATGGTGGAGAAATTCTTGCAGCTTGAATGGGTAAATGCTGTTCTATTTTGGTATCTTCTAAATTGTGGCCTTTATCACTTAAAGAAAATGACAAGTGAGCTTCATCTGATTTGAGAAAATCTAGCAACAGAGTGTCGGCTAAATGTCGTTGCTTTTAAATAAATAAGGGTGAAAAGGAGGCCGTATGAATTATTGATGACTGCTTGGCAAAAAAATTTGGTGTGTTATGATGTTCGGTGATGGAAAAATTCCAATTTCAAAATTTCTTTGACGCCAATTCTACAACTAACGATAACTTTCTGCATTGATCGATATCACTCTAATTTGATAATGCATAAGTTATTGAAGGGAATTTAGTACAGTAAAAACGAACCATTAATTTCTCAAGGAAGTAAGAAAGACAGACTATGAAGTTTAAAGAATTTTTCGATGGCAAATTTGATGACTGATCAATTTAAACCAGCTCTAAACGCACCAAGACCTGCTATGCAACGTGCGCTTCCGCTAGTTGGCGGCTTCCATTAAACTTTCAGATCATAGAATCTGATCGTCTCTATTACCACATTATCATGGTGTTTATTAAACGTGGGAGTAATAACTAGGAATCCATTTTTTCTTCACTTTCCCACCTATTTCAGTTTGATAAATGGCAGAAATTGGCTAAATGCACTTTATAGGGCTTGTTATAGTAATATGGGTTTCCAGTAAAGGTATGATATATTACCACAGTAGTTACAGAACACGATCGGGATCCATGTTTGGTACTGCTTTGATCTTTTAAATGACTTGATTGCAAAAGAAGCTGTGTTCAATAATAATTAATTTTCAAGCAGAATGATCGCGAGATGCTGAAAATTATAAAAAGAAACGATTGGCGCATGGTAAACGTCATGTATTTGAACGGTACATGAATTCATTGGCATTAAATGGATAATGTAAGAGGGATTCGAAATGTATATTTTAGTATCAAACTGATAAAGACAAGGCGGTTCAACGGATCTCTGCGATTTTATATCTTTTCTCGATCTAGCATAAAAACACTCTGAGTTACACTAGGATAAGAGTATGGTGGTCATTCAGTGGAGTATCAATGGATTCGATTGTTTGGAAGCCGAATAATTTCATAGTTTCTTATTGAATCTTCTCGATTTTATAACAAAACTCTCTCTCTCTACGATTATGCTTTAAAATTAAATTAATTACGAAAGTAGGGCTTCCTTGGGTGTCGTATCAAACCGCACATTTTCTTTAACAGAAATGCAGATAGTGACTTTTCGATATTTTGAACGTGATAGAGCATTTTAATGAGTTGTTTATAGCTACTAAGTTACTAACATTGCTTATTAAAGCAGAATAAAAAGTTTGGCTTTTCAATATCGGATTCAAACCTTTTTTCACCCACTGTATAGCAATGCATTTGGCAGGCATTGAGGAGAATTTGCATAATGAACATAATTTAAACAATTACTGTCTATTTTGAAAACAGCTTTTTGGTAGCATCGCCAAGTGGAGAGTATAAGTAGCAGAAAATGCACTCTGAAATTAACAAAAAGAAAATTCAACTCTCAAGAAATCAACAGAATTTATCTTCTAAATGAAGTTTGAAATATCCTAGCTCATAAATAACGAGTTTTCGTGCCTTAAATCTCGTAAAACAGGCAATATGAAGAAGTAAATTTTATTTTTTTTCTGAAATTTCTAGCAGCTCCAACCTACACAGTCTTGTGATGTTTCACTTTATGACAGTTAACGTAATAGCAAAAAGAAACATTTAAGTTCATTTAAGAGAAAAGAAAACATGCTATTCCAATAACCAACTAATTCTTAAAGGAATTACGATTAATTTAAAGTGTATACAAAGAGCATATTATTTGCAGATAAATTGTCTATTGCAGATATTAAAAGCCCAAAGGCTCTGCATGACACATCAATTAGTAAACCAATTTTACGCTTTATCCCACAAAGCTCGTAAAAAACATTTCATTCTGCCACTTCTCTGTACTGACCTGGCGATCAGTGACTTTTTCCACAACGCCTAATGCCTACACAATTTATTTATTTATATCAAATGGCAGGCCTTATGATAGTCATCATAAGCTCTTTAGTTGGGGACTTGGGGCTTCGCAGAGGAGAGAAAGAAAGAATGTCACAAAAGTCGAGGGGAAACAGAAGAGTGACTCACAAATGTAAAAGAGAGACAGACACAAAGGTAGAGAAAAGTTAAGATGAGTACTATGGAAGTGGTGGAATATGACTTACAATTGGGTCGGGGTAGTTTGAGGTCAGAAGTCAACTGGCAGTTTATAGACAGTTTTGTCGTATGAGTATAAGTTGCCCAGGCTGCAACACAAGGAGGTAAGTCTATCGCATACTCCATGCCTACGCAATAGTCCATTGGATTAAGATTTGGAGAAGGAGTACAGAGTTCGCAGGCCTTTTCCAAACCACTTTCGCGAGTCTCTTCTGTGAGAAGTTGGCACCTGCGACACTTGTTTGTAAGATCTTGTAGTACCATAGGTCTTCATTCAGTCCAAACCTCTTGGTAAAGACTAAAATATTCAAACAGTTGTGATGACGAAGACCTTATTGTGATGCCAAGATGTTCAAACACTTTATTCCACAGACAGACCTTGAAGAAATGTGCTGAGTAAGAGAAATCAGATCATATTGTCTATTAAGTTGATTTTATTAGTTGCGGCAACCTCGTAGTCCCCATAGCAACTCTGCAGTTCATGCCGTGTTCTTTTCACAATGTTCAGGGAACATTGAGCAGAAACGCCAATCCCCTTATTTTACTGACCGCTCGAATTCACATGAAACAAATTATCGTCTTTCTTGGTTCCGGAGGGTTTCAGTCTCATTTTTACCACGAATGTGAGTGAATGAAGGGGTCGAATTTGGAACAGAAGTGAAGTATGTGAACAACATCGCATTGGAAAATGTTCTAATCGTCGAGCGTTTGTGAAAAACAATCCAATTAGAACCAGGTAAATTGAAGTGATACATAAAGGAAATCAATGGGATTCACAGATATGCATTTTAAGCTCGGCTCCATGAATAGTTTTTCAGAGGCAACACAATGGACACAAATTGATTATAAATTTACTTCATTCCGATTTTCAAATTTTAGACACCGCCTTCTAATCATGGGTCAATAAATATATGCTATTAGTTTAAATTTTTCTTCAAATGATTATTCTCTAAAGATGTCTTTGTTAAATGACTGCAGTGAAAGCTCAAAATGGCCGAGTTGTGTAACAATTTTTAGGCGACTGGTTTATTCCTCCTCGCAGAAACTGTGTCTGCTTTAGTGAAAAAATAAGTTTGACTGCTTCAGGCCATGGGAAATTTTTTAATCTGTGCGCAGATGCGACCACGGTAAAGGCCAAAAGTTTTTATGCTTTGGCAGTTGACAACAAGCATTAACACAAAGCATTCGCCTTTGTAATATACAAACAACTTCAGCAATTAAAGATGAACTCTGAAATTATTTATGCGCGAGTGCAACTGTACTCGAGTTTTATTAAAAATCGCTAAATTTAAAATTGGCAATAGGGTTTTGTTACTGTGGTGAAGTGGAGATCCAAACATTTAGAATGCAATCGCATTGCAGACTCTAATACACTTCCAGATATTTTTTGGAAGGCGTTGAAATACAACAATTTACTTATCACTTATAATCTCAAATAGACTACCCTAAATAAGAAGCATCTATTTCAAATAATCGTACTTGAATTGGTTAGTATTCGATCGTGAATATATATCTACATATATATATTTGGGTCATTCTGACTTTTGAGGACGGAGATGCAGCTGGTGATATACACCTGTGATGGCAGAGATCACACTTTCTGTGCTCATTGGAGCATATCCAGTTAGGAAGAAGCAAAATCCTTTAGCATGACTAAAAGAGGAAAAGATGAAACCGGCCCCCCGATAGGTAAAAGCAATAATATCGATGTTATTACAGCGTGATATATATATATATATATATATATATATATATATACTTGAGTACTATTCAAGATCTCGTTGGAGCAGCAACAACTTTATATCATCAACAAGCACTAATTTTCACTAGACTACAAATGCATGAAATTTTGATGATTTTAAAGGTAGGGTTTTCACTCTCTGATTTCAGAAAAATTTAAACCATCGTTCATTAAAAGGCATTGTTCATAATTAAATAACCCTGTGCTTTTCACAAGCTTTTGTCAAGAATACTGATGAGCACTTGTCTGTTTGATTTATCGTTTAGTGGCAAAACCGTTTGATTTCGAAAAACTTGAAATGTACTAAAACTCCTTGACATCTTTCTGACACCTTCGCTTTATGCTCATACTCCTGAACACGTTGAATCTGTGTTAATTTTCAATATTTCATAGTTATGCCTAGTTATGCGATACATTTTTGCCCAAGTTCACTGGAATTACTTTCATTTCATGGGAATATAGATAAGGAACTGGAAGACATAAAAAAGTACTCTTTGCAGAGGTGAATCCATGTACCAATAAAACCAATAAATCACAGTTGATTTGACCACAAGCCTAAAAAAGACCAAATCTCACTATGCATATAGATATGTAGGAAAGAATTTCTTTCTACAACAAGTTGGGTAGTTATAACTTTTCGGTTTAACAAGTCGATTTTCATATAAATTACATCCTTGAAAATAGTTTTACCTAGAAATAACCGAAATTCCCAGATAATTTAATTTCAGAATGGTAAGATCACTTTCACCACCTTGGGACTTTGTTGGATAATAAGACCAAATAAACTATAGCCTACGGTGTGAATGCGATTTAACAGCCATTTTTTTATTTGGGAACACAAATATGGATGATAATCATAAGGTATTGCAGAGATTTGTCTCGATAAAGACATAAAAATAATTTTAAAATATTTATTTCAAATGGCTGGCGTTTTGATAGCTATCATTAGCCATTTAGCTGACTTTGGGCTTCATAGAGGGAAGGTTAATCAAAGTAGAAGAAATTCGAGGGGTGGGGAACAGAAGAGCTATTAACAGATGTAAAAGAGGCAGACAAACACAAAAATAGAGAAAAAGGTAAGATGAGTACTGTGAAAGAGGTCGAATATGACAAGCAGTCGGGCCATGGTAGTTTGAAGTCAGAAGTCAGCTGCCGGTTAATAGACTTTTTGCCGTATGAGTATACGTTGCTCAGGGTGCACCACGTGGAGGTAAGTCTATCGCGCACCCCATTTTAAAATATATTTCATCACTTAAATCAAATTATGAAGTCTATATTATTGGCAGGGCCATTGTGGAGGAAAACTTTATCCCATGTTGCGACAACTAATAATTGCACTTGCAATTGACGTAAGCTGAACTTTGTGGTTTTAATGTGTACCCTAAGTTAAGGAGAAATTATAATTTTTAAAAAAATGCCTTTAAAGGAAAAGGAATTTCGTTTAGCACTACAATTATTCCTAGGCATGCTTCTGGTGATGATGTGGTTTAACTCTTGACCTCGATGATCCGTGGACCACAAAAGACACCTCTTTCCTGATGGTATAAACATTAGCTCTATTTAAAAGGCATTTACTAATGAAAAGGTGCTTGGAATAATCTCTGCTAACTTTGCGAAGGAATGTGAGTTTGTCAAACACTGCGTCATGAGTATCATACCACAAAAACTAATTGGATGTATTTCAGTAGTTTCTAAGTGAAAGGTAGGCAAATTTTGAAAATGTAAAAAAATTTATTGTCAGGTTAAACAAGGGCGTTAAAAAGACGTTTTCCATGTAGTTACTCCTCTTTTACTTTCTGGACATGGACTTTCATGCAACCATTCCAATTCCAACGAAACGACGAAATTTGAGAAGAATACCAAATTGAAGAGATAAGGTAATCATGAAGCCTTGCAGAGTACTTTTTCATCGCACTACAATTGGGAGCTATGTATTCAGTTGTTTATCTTGTATCCTGGAATAGGAACTTTAAATGAGTAGACTTGTTATAAACGATTAAAAAATATCCAGCGAATTTCAATCAATGTTTCACTGGCCTTAAGACAGTCACGCATGAGGTATTTAAAAGCGCCTTGAAGACACTTGTGTGAAAAGTGTTTTTGGCTCAATTTTTGTTCTGATGAAAATATTTACGCTCTCAACTGCCTCCCTGGGCTCACATTCCATTAACCGATTCTGGCAGTGCGATAAATAAGAAAGTATCCAAATGGAATTGAGGAAATCATGGTTTTGAGTCAATAGCAAGTTAACTCAAACTTCTCTGAAAGTCTCTTGAGTGAATAATTGTGTGCAAAGGTTAAACGAAATTGAACTGCTTTTACTTATTAACTTGCGCTGGTGCCATTTTCTCTTTGTATCAGAAATTTGTTAATTGACACAAAATATTCTTCACAATTGTTTTAATGTTTCTGAAATACTCCAATTTTTACCCAAGGTTGAATATTTTTTGCAGTATTACCGTTGTTTAATTGGTTTAATAAATTTAAACAAAATTGTTCTTATTCACGTCTTTCCCTCTCCTTCTTCCTCATCTCATTCATATATTTTCTTGTAATAAAAAGAAAATTTCGCCATTCGTCAAATATCTCAAATATTCCTCCTTCTTTAACTTTCTCGTATTTAGCTGAAAATGGAAAATCGATTTCGGAGCACTTTAATCGATTTAAGAACATAGAATCTTTTTATTAAACGCTTTTTTATCGACAGTTTATCGCTTAACTTCCATCCATCCCTCCGTTACAATCGTCTTTACAAAACTCGAATTTCCTTCTTCTTGGCGTGTTTAGCAATCGGATGAATTCTCACAGTTAATTTACGTTTAGTTATGTCCAGGACTCTTTCAAACGATTAGGGACTAGATTTTCATTAATTTTCACTTATCATGACTATTTACTTTAGTAGGAAAAATGTGTATTTGCAACCCCCTCCCCCTCCCCACCCCAATATACACTTGTTAAAATGATTGCAATCGATCCGTTTATTGATTTTTTGATATCGATGACACTTTTATTGCATATGTACACATACGAAGAAAACATAAAAGCATACGTAAGAAAAAGAAGAGTAGCCTTTGCAATTCCAATGTTATTAACAGATATAATTGTTTAAAGGCATACGGGGGAAGGGCAAACGAAATGCATACCAGCGATGAGATGAACGTGGTTAGACACGCATTGAGGGAACTTGAGTCGATGCGATTACAATACACCAAGGAAGAGAGGGGGAGAGAGAGATAGAGAAGTATAATGTGACTGTCGTATAACTTAAGAGGGCATCCCATACATCAGCGAAAAAGACTTTTATATAAAAATAGAGTCTTCACATAACCACGGGAATAGGGCTGTAGTTGTGATTTGGGGCCGGGGGGGGGGGGGTTTGTAGACTCTGGGAAGAAGGGTACCTGACCAAGTTTATACCGGGTAAGTACGTGGAAAGTTATTCAACATTTTTTAACTTCCAAATACGGAGGGCGGGGAGTGGGGGGGTATACTTGGCAATGAGATAAGGGTTATCGTTATAAAGTCCAGTTGAAACTCGATTGTCTCTCCATATGTCAACAGGTCTTCTTTACAGGAATGTATACTGTGGGGCTTTGATTGTGCGTATTTGGAGTGCGGGGCTCTGTGTGGACTAAAATTCCCCTATTCTTCCGTCAGCTCGGGGGCAGTGTCGGAAATATAAATGTACCTCATCCATTTGACCATGATAACAAGGCGGCATTATATAGGATCCATTGAGTGGCGTTGGCAATCTATAAATCATGTAAAATTATAATCTTTGTAAATGAATATAAAATTATATATATATATATATATATATATATATATTGTGTACTAATAGGTTTTCGTATTTAGGGATATATTTCGAACACGAGCTACATCCCAGAAAATCCTAAACAGGATGAAACAGACTTCCCACAAGTAAGCTCTTATTGTTGTAACTGAATAAGACATTTAATTACACCTACACACTCTAACTTGGGGTTTAAGGCTACCCACGATTCCCGATTGGTGACATAATAGTGTTGGCATTCCACGCTGAAATCATGAAGTGGCAATCATGAGCTGTGACAGATAGTTTATTCTTTGAATAAGTAAAGAAGTGTCAAACCATTGGGACTTTGGAATTGATGAGAGTACTAAATCCAGATCATAGAATTCGCACTCTTATTAGCATTTCTAAGTGTTAAACTTGTGTTATAAGTATTCGTCAACTAGCTTTCCATAACGCACCGGCATTGAATCAATTAATTAAATTAAATTACTGTTTTAAACCAGCCAAACTCCTGTATAAGGTGCTTGAAATATCCTAAACACAAATATGGAAGTGATATTCAGAAGTACAGACGAAGGATTGGCGACATCCTAAACTTATCTGTTTTGTATTATCTTTCCGAGTTTTATTACAATGATTCCTATAAATAAGGAGCATTGTTTTCGTGTTTATAGGGGTGTTTTTTTGCAAAGGGAAAGATCAAAGAGATCTAATGTTGACTTAGTAGGCGCCAAATGTCTTATCAAGAAATTTTGATCTATTCTTTCGAAGTATTAAAGGGATTCTACCGGCAATAATTGAACAAAAGTGTGATTTTATTGCCCTTTTCGCGATAAGAATTTGACAATTTTTTATTTAAAGGAAGGATTGTGTTGTAGGAATGATTGGAGAGCAGTGTGAATGAATCCTAGCGACATCTGCTACCTTCAAAGTTGGTGCTAACCTTACTTTATTTAATTAAAAAGGTTATTTAGTAAGCCTGTCAACGATCTTCAAATGTCTTGTGTCTGGAAGCCAAATCATGAAATTCGAATATCAAGGTAATTAATACGTGAGGATATGGATGAGCCAGTGCTTTGAGAATGTAAAAAACTGCAATCCTTCATGTCCTGTCATCACTGTCTACTTATCTAGAACTCCTTTTCGATTGAGATGGGAGCTATGAAACTAAAAAGATGAGATAAATATAGTCTGAAGGAGAGAGAGAGAGGGCGTGACAAAGATACAAGTTGTTGGAGATATTTGCAATGATAAACCATTATTAAACTTACATCGAATAATTTATGAAAAGCTCAAGTTTAAATACCTAAACCTTCCGTTTTCACTTTTGCTTCCGATTTTTTAGCTTAAATAATAAATTCTACTTTCTATGATAGCACCATTTGACCCTATGCTCTGTATTAATAATCTTGTTAAAAGAAATTTCATTTTTTGGCTTCTGAAGTTTGTCATTGAGAAAGCAAACTTATCAACTGATAATCTTGTAATTAGTCATAAAATTTAAATCTAATGGCTATCCTGATTACGTTTTAATACGCAGATGGATATCAAACGCGCGCTATTGAGTCTAACAACTTTGCGCACTAATGCCACGCCACGTTAATAAACTCATTCAAATTTTTCTATTTGTTTTTATACTCATTATTAAATTCATTCATTTCCTTACATTGCGCTTATTTTGGTGCGATCGTTCAAGTTTCTCGGATGTGTTGGATGTTTTTTGTTGCTGCTGAAAGCCAAAGTAAATACTTAAAGAATTGTCGCCTAAATTTGGTGCAGTGAGCTCCAGACTTGGCATTCACCTTTAAAATTATCGGAATTTAAAATCGAAATTTAATTAGCTATAATTTAAAATTTACACAAATTTTCTTCTCAAATCGTAAAACTTACTCTTTTTCTGTGAATTGCTCCTTGCCTTCTAGAAGTGCCTCGCATCTTGAATCGCCCTTCTCGCAGTAACAGAAACAGTCATCGAAGGTGTATTTATTCAATTTAAGCGGCGAAACACATTGCCGATTGTCACATCTTAAAAAATCAAATTAATAGACTTGTTATTTCACTTTCATATGGCGTTAATTTGGGCATAATGACTATGTCATTATTATAAAGATGCTATTAATGAATATTACAACAGTTGGTTAAATATATAAATATATAAATATATATATTGTCATCAATATAACTGTAAAAGATTGGAAAAAATGTAATTAAAAATATAGTATTATTGAATTTGGAATAATGCGATCTTAATTTTACGTTTTTTGCCAATTATTATAATCAATGAAAAGCCTCTGTTCACGAAATAGTGGAGATTGAAATGAAGGTAATACAAAATGGGAGATATCGGATGCCTAAATTGCACTCTGTCCATTTAAACAAAATATTTTCCTAATGAATTTAATTATATAACACGTTTGCTCCTATAAATTTGCCTGATACAGTGGGCTCACATTTTGGCTAATCAATAACTGGATTTTTAGGTGACGAAATTGCATCTTGGCATTAAGGCGCACCTAGAACCTTTGAAATATATATATATATATATATACTGGGAATAGAAGTTTCTAATGTTACAAGTGACAAAAGTGCAAGGTAAACATTGCGTCATGTCGTACAATCAACATTCAAATAGTTTAATTCCATACTATGCTGACACGTACATGGCAGCGTACACCTCATAACTAGTGCGTATTCTTCCATTAAACAAATGAAATAGGGCAGCGCAAAAAATATTTAATTTTGACTAAAAAACACGTGATTTTTGCCCTAATAATTGCTTAGCAGCTCTGATAATTATGAATTAATATACCGCGTTCATCACAGTTTAAGCTTTGACTTTAGGCAAAATTTCATTGAAGTGTAAATCAATGAAATAGGAAAGAGGCATTGAATCATGATGATACAAATCCCCTCTTCAGGAAACTGTCTTAAAGCCTGCATTATGATAAAATGGCGGCTTTTGTAAAATCCTGTCCAAATGAAACTTCAATTTTGATTTAATTTAAAAGCATAATAAATTCTTTTCAACGAAATCTTGCAATAAATTTCAAATCACTCGAAAGAGAAGAAAATGGATTACGAAAAGAGATGTATTAAATTATTTACCCAATATTTCGATTTTAACAATTGAAAATAGTATTAAATTTAAAATAAATTTGACAATTTTTAATCAACACTTATTTTCTGCTATATCAATATAGTAATTAACAATTATTATTGAAAAAATAATATCCAAATTAATTGCTTCATTACCGTCGTTTGCATTGGCAGGCCATATGTTCGGTCAGCGCGATGACTTCGGTTGTAGTGGTACCTTCAGCAGTCTGAAGTGGCAAAAAAACAGGATAAATTTATTAAAGTTTCCCGGATAAATAGACATATTCTTCTTTACTTCCGTGACCTAAAGAAAGTTATAGGTAAATAGTGTTTAAATGTATAGAATCTGCCTATACACAACAGTTGTTCCTCCCGATATCCACGCCTCGGGTGACACAAATGAAATTTATTTTCAATCATTTTAAAAAGGGGGAAAATTTAAAAATAAGTTATTTTAAAAATAAAACGCGATATAAATTATACACATATACATAAATATATGCACTATTAGAAGAAAGCATTTAATAAGTTTCCATTGCACTACTTTGCCTGTAGATGAATATAAAAATACTTTTACATTTTTTGGCTTTTAAGGGTTTCCTTGTCTTCAATATCCATTGCGAATTAAAAGAATTATATACTACAGTATCTCTTCAATCATCAACTAGATGAATAACCAAAACCAATGGGTGGTGTTTTTGGTTTACTTACAACATTGTGATTTAAAGCATATGTTAAAGAGATTTCCATGGAAAGCTTTAATTGAGCATAGTTTAGGAAGAAATAAGCTAACCCGTTGTCAAATTTAGGTGTGCAAATGTTGTTCGACGTGGTTGATCGATTTGCCTATTAAGTGGTTTCATAACCACTGCAGTTAGATACGTAATCCAAGCATTTTACCGCCATATCACTGCCACGTTAAGATGCAACATAAACACTCTTTAATAACAACGTAACTTGCTGGCATAAGTAAGAATAGGTAGTAAAATATTCAAAAACGACATCTGGGAGTCAAAAGTTTATTTACGTTGTAAACGACAACTGGTGCGGTTTTAAGCCTAACTTCGGTAGGTAGGCACTCTTCCTCAGGAAGTCCACATGTACACGAGCCACCCGCATCCGCAGCATAATGACTTCTTGTATCCACGTTCGGGTTCATTCTATCAGCAGCATCACAGAGTGCCTTTAGCGCCGACTTGGAACGCATTCTTGATGCCTGATCAAACATAACTTGGTAGGAGTTCAATGAACTTCCAAATCCATACACTGAGCTCCATATAGGATTGTCACAGCGCTGAACATATAGCCCTGGTGGGAGGAAGAGCGTTGATTTGCTCTTATGCATGTTGGGGAAGAAAGTCTTTGTACATAGAGTCTTATTAACAGGTTTGCAGGCGTTTGTCAAAAATTCGTTATAACTCTCGTAGGCAAATCGCAATTCCTCCTCAGAATCTAAAATATAGAGATCGAAGATCGCAATTAAGCGTATTTCCTTATTTATTCTAAGATTAGTTTCACTGAGACATAAAAACAGCCAATTCCGATATGCTGTCTACTGAGAGCCAACATTTCTTGGTGTGGGTGTTTGGATAGGAGAAAACTCCACTTATTTAAAAATTTAAACTATTCTCAATGAAATAAGTAACTGGTGAAATGGGAAACTAAAAGGTAAATGAAACTTGGTGTGGTTTAAAACTTTTCAAATGGCCACTTTGGGGTATAAAATGCAATTAGAACTGTCTTCAGAAATTGCCGACCCTTCGTATATACAATTGAGCAGGGATCATTGTTTTTGAAAATGGTAAACAATGTTCGGTAATTTGATATTTTGGGTTAAAATTCATGTTAAATATTCAAACCAAAGGTATTTTAAGGTTAGTGATCTACCAATCAACACTTGTGAGAAGATACACTCACTTGTCCTCTTCTGGATGAGGGACTTTATTCCACATTTAACTATAAAAGAGTAACTTAACGCATTGTTAGTAAAAATTACCGACTGATCAATTAAACTATGCAATAGTCACTAAATCATTCATAAAAATGCTCTCCTACGGACATCAAACTCACAATTATCTACTTCTTGCTCCCCAAATAGATTTTCATCATTTGAATCCAAGCTGCGTTTGCTGAGAGTCCGATTTTTATTTGTGATACTCGGGACCTTTTTATCCTTCGGGTGGGGGTGCTGAGAGTGGAACACAACTCCCCCACTGACTTCAGGAAGAATGCTAGCATCTAGAATGGATTCATTAAGAATTCTTGGTGTGTCGAGGGATTTGAGACTCGAACGGAGGAGAATTCTTTTAAACTCATCAAACGAGGAAGCTCTTTGGAGTGCTCGCGCCTCCCTCCCAAGAACAACCATGTTAAATCGATCAGCTCGGTTGCGGGCCTGACGTCTATTTAGTCTGCGTTGTAAGGCTTCTTCTTTCTTCAGTGCAGCATTTTTTCTCTGCTTTCGATGGTTTTGTCGACGAGTTTTCCGGAAGGAGTGCCACTCTCTTACAATATATTCAATCTACGAGGAAAACATATACACATGAGATTAACTTCGATCGGACACACACTGAGATAATAAGAGGGTAAGAGAGTTTGCCTGATATGGGGTAATGTCCTCCTTGAAGGACGGACTCAAAGAATCGATAAATTGTTTAACGTGCCGTAGTGGCAGCGAGAGCTGGCTGTCATCGTTCCATATGTTTGTTTGCAGTCGTTTCATCCTAGTTGCGCCTGCTCCCTGATTTCTACTGGAATGTGATGATAAATCCATAGAATCGTAGTCCTGAGAGAAAGAAGATCTGAAGGGATAGAGTGTACCACCGTCTGTTAGTCGAAGGTTGTGTGGAATCGTCTTTTCTGATTGCAAAAGTCCAGTCAAATGCTACATTTAAGACAATAAAATAACGACTACTTTACGGTAAGAAGAACTTAAATGTAGTTAATTCGAACCCATGTATATATATATATATATATATATGGATACAAATTATGGGAAAAAATTTTGCTTTAACTAACTGATATTTTAATCATTTATTGTAATTACTCTACACCAATGTGGTAATTGTGTAAGGTTCTTATTGACTTATCCAAACTTGTTTATTTATTTTGTTTGACAAAATTCAATATTTAGCTAATTTTAATAAGTGAAAAAAATATGCCTAGCTGTTGACGAGGAAATTATCTACTTTTCCCTGAGTACTTAATGATTTTGACACCAAGTTACAAATAGACGCACTTTAGAAAATGAGGAATTACAGAGTTTGAAAAAAATCCAAATTTTTATCTATATTTTCATGATAAAAACATGAAGGTAATTAGATACTGGTAATTTTGTGGACATTGTACATTTGTCGTTAAAATTTGGAAAACACCCAATGTTGTCAATTAAAATAAATAAAAAAAATTTGAAAATATCCCATTTTCCCACGAACAATGCGGTTGAAACTTTACTAAGATTGCAAAGTTCACTGAAAGGGAAGAGATCATATGTCATGTCCACAGTGCGAGGTGGTACAAGGTGAAGCTTACTCGGTGATAGAAATGACCAATCCCACTGATTAGTACTTAGCAATGGGAGAGTGGGGTGGAGGGTAATTGAATTAGTACAACTCAATCACCCTCTTCTTACATCTCATTATGATAGAAGTGGTAAAATTATGTTGAATTATTTTTCATACTATGACAGTGATTGCAAATGAACTCATCGACTTTCGTTGAATAAACTTCACGAATATTGGAAAGTAGATCATAAGAAGAAAATATATATATTTCACTAAGAGAGAATTGTTCTTTTTTCCAATTTTCTCTTGAAGCTTTAAGTGAGTCATTCCCGCCGCTCACTCTATGGTGTCGGCTTAAATCCGCAAATTTGCCGACCAACCTTATTCTAAAAGTCTTGAAGTAGAACTGCAAAAAAAACTCGATAGAATTATTTTTTATGAAATAACTTGGCAATCAACCTTATAATCTAGTAATTATTTATTCCCCTCCCAATGGCATAAATCCCACTCGAATGACAGGGAAATCTATCAGTGGGTTAGTGTAGATGGGATAACTTATTTTTACTCGTAGCCCCACCCCCCTCCCACCCCTCACCCTAGCTACCCTCCAAGAGAATCTCCACGGGGGTTCGTATAACATTTGCCATAAATGTCACAGATTAACCTTTCGGTGTGATGAAATAGAAGAGAGATGATGAGAGTTAGGCCAGTAATGCGAACGCTATCATGTGGTAGGCAACATATTAGCCTGCGGGCACTTTTTTCGTCCCCCCACCCCTCCCCTCTCCGCCCCTAACTTCCACTGTTCCTCAAATGATAGGTACAAATGGCTCATTTGCAAAACATTAATTGCTGATTGAATAAGAGGATAAATACTTCAATAAGTGGGTGATTACTATAAGTTTTATGGCACTGAATTGCAAATTTAATTTCATATATCTAATTGGAATGTGTGTGAAATTAAGCGAATATTTTCCACATTTTGAACACAGATTTGCTCATAGGTTAAGCGGAACATCACGATTTTCCCGACTAGGTTTTGTTCTGTTTGGTCGTAAAAAAATGAAATATGTTACTCCAGTCTTATTCGCATGGCGAGATCAAGTTAATTGGAAAGTGCTGTCGCGAATTTGAGCCTTCTAAGAAGCAAATGCCTTTTTTGTACAAATTTATTTGAAGTGAAAACAGAGGAAACGATAAATCTGCAACTTCCATCTGAAAAACAATTCAAATTCTTGAAAATTGCTAAAAGAAATTGATCAATGCGCTAAAGTAGATCAAAGTGATAATAAGTGATAGATGACTTGAATGTTTGTTTTTGCTTATGCCATAATTAAAATGAAAACCAACGGAATCTGATTTACCCTTCCGCAGGAAAGTTGTCCCCAAAAAGTCAATTTTGGCCAAGATCCAATTCCAAGCCTACTGGTGGTCCATTGTGAATTATTGCCTCGGATTTTATGATTCCCATGTTACAGCGTCATACTTCTTGCATAAATTTCCCCTTTACTTATTCGTTGAATCTTCAACTATTCCCCCCCCCCCCCACCCGGCTCCACCCCACCCCCAATTTGGCGCAATTTTAAACAACGCACAACGTAAGAAGACACCTTTTTCCCTTTTTACTCACCACTAATCACTACGATCACTTGGTATATTCGGCGTACATAACATACAAGCGCACATTTCTAACCTTCAAATTTTGTTCCACTGAAAGACTTTGCTACCTAATTATCGGTTATTTGAATTTTGTTAAACCAATTTAGAATTGGTTAGGGGAGAGAATAAAGACCTGATTTGTTGTACCTAATTTAGCCAGTCACTAGATAGTATCATTTTCTCTCATTCTATGAGAGTGTCTCCCACTCTCTCATTCTCGAGTTCCTTGACGTAAGAAATAAGATATGACCAGTACCGTCAACTGTGTTCCTGTTTCAGGATGACATTTTGTAATAGCAGAGACTGTCAAGGCCAACTTAGCTCGAAGTAGAATTAGTAACCTATCTCTCTCATTCGGTCATTCAAACTGGTCGAAATAGCCTCTATCTATACTCAGTAACCCAAATTACTATTTAAAGTTGATGTGAACTTGAGGAAGAACCTTGAATAACTAAGTCTTACTGACTTAATTTCTGGACAAAGAGGGTTAGAGTCAAGTTGGTTTGAATAGTGGTTGTCTTTTCTCCCCGATTGTCCAAAATAATTTCACTTCTTAGAAAACAACCACACACGGTGCTCCTAATTTATGCTAATAAGATTTGATTTTGGCTTTACTAGTCAATCATCACTTTTGATGTTCACGCATTTCATACCAGACGTGAGTTGAGGACATGAAAGTTACAGACACAATTTCAAACAAATGAGTGCAAAAATGAACCCTTACCAAATAATATATTTGTAAATAAAAAAATAATAAAATTGATTTTATCTTTGGTATTTTGAAATTGGAATAATTAATTACTTCACACTGTTCAAGCAGACCTGTTTGATGTAATTTTTCAATAAAATAGGCTCCAGCTAAATATACTTTATAAAATATTGACAGTTGGGGTAATATTTATTTGCAAGTGCGAAAATTCAAATACCTAGCGTGGTGGGAATTTAGTTGTTAATTGCATTCTCCCGTAAATGGGAAAATTTGAAAAGACATCAAATCTTCGACCTAGCTACAGGCGGCAGAAGTTAAAAACTGTGCAACTGAGCAATTCACATTTTCACATGAAATTTCATCAATTTCCTTTCCTTTGGGCATTTGAATAATGCCGCGTTCGAGTTCATATCATGAGAAATGTGAACAGTCTCAGCTTTCACGGAAAAATTAGCATAAAGTCTCATCAAATGTGAACGTGATTTCACTACTGTGGGTGGTCTCAATGAATTAATAATTCATTTAAAATTCATATTAGGGTGCGCGAGAGCAAATGTAGTGACTTCATTCTTAGCGGTCTCGAACTAATGATCTTATCAACAATAAAGTTGTCAAATGCGATTGCTACTCTTCAAGTATTTTTAGATGGTGGGTTGTTAACTACTTTAAAAGTGGATTAGAACCTACTGCCAAATATTTGATCATGAGTGCATAACCGCGAGTCATAGGTGAGTGCTCTGACATCGGTGTACATATTTGATTAACTACATCATTGTGAACAAGGAAGAGTGTACTGTATGATTACATTTACATGATCAATGAAAATGGTGCATGATCGATTCGAAAAATAAGTCATTGATGAAGGTCTCAAGCAATTTAATATATAAAGTTCACTGAGAGACGGAGTTTGATAGTGTATTTTGTTACATTATAAATGTACTTTGAGTCTGTCTATTCTAATACTTGAACAAATAATTTCCCTTTCACTCCTTAAGCATAGATTTGACCTCTACAGTTTGAACTTTATAGTAAAGGTCCAAGGTTACTCTGGATTCGAATTGCTATGCCTCCCTTTTTAACAAAAACACTACATAAGTAATTAAATTTATGGTTAATGACGAAACGTACCTGGTTTGGACTCCGTCTGGCCTTAAGGAGTAAAAATTGTTGTTGGCGCTGATGCGTATTTACAGAGGAAGCTGCATCATTTCTATCTTCTTCAGCCGAGCTCACATAGGCTTGGCAAAGTAAAACTAGGAAAAATAGGAGAACTAACTGACCACCAGAAACCGGTTGGTTGATTCGAGTTCGAGATCGTAAAGTCGGCAAAGGACGAGAAGAAGGCCTAAGCCATGTGGGGAGTTGGTGAAGATCTTGATTGTCTGTAAATGTCGTTGACTTTGTAAGGGAGTTGCAATGTGAATGAAGCCAGGGATTATTATGATGTCGAGTAGTTTGATTGGGAGTCAGCATATCTCTCATAGGTACTTCCTTTCGACGTCGTTTTATCATTGTGCGTATGGTGTAGTTTCCCGGTGGGACACAAAGAGGCTATTCCATACGGAGTTCAGCGAACGACTAGTCTTTTTAAACTCACAGACACGTGTGTTTCATATGTATGTAGGTAGTATATGTGTGCGGCCGTATTTGCGTGTTGTGTAATAGAGGTATATGTCTGAACAAGTGATGGCAAAGTTTGCCTGCTGGAACACATTTGCGCAGAAGCGTATGTGGTACGGACAGGCGCACACGATAAAAGTGTGTGCGCCTGTCCTTCTCTCACTTTTCTCAAATCCACAAAGAAAATTAACTCCTGCACGCACATACATGACGCACCATGAAATGTACGCGCGATGATACGACGCACTCCATGATTAGGTATGCTTTAGCGCAAAGTTGAGCTTGGATCATCCTAACGGGGGAGAATTGACCCAATATGGAAATTTTGATTTGGACACAATTCAGCATTTTCAAAACATGTTAATTATATTTTGTACAATCCCAAAGGACCCATTCCTGCTCTCCATGCTCTCCGAATTACCAATTTAAACAAATAGCAATGCCACATGTCCCAAGCTTTCAGCTAAATTGGACTAGATTATAATGATTAATTAGTTAATAATTATTGTCATAATTGCTTTCTATTGTGTTGGTTTCAAAACAGATAGAAGGCTGGACGTCTTTTAGCAGTATTCGGAAAAGTGCTTAAAATTAAGCTAAAATAGAGCACATGGTAAGAAAGATTTTTTTACAAATCTAATCTAATCGAAACAATTGGAGTATCATTACAGGCATAATTTTTAAACGTGTTCTCTAATTCAATGAACATAAGCGTATGATAAAGAGCAGTTACTAGTGCTCAAACAATAAAATTCGGTATTAAAATTCACAATTTTTCCCATAAGGTAATTGAAAGTATTAGTTACAAGAATCGAAAGTGTGCTTGTCGGCTCATTACATCATAGTTCTAACTTTGCTGTCACAGGAGGATAATTCATCAAGTTAAAAATGGAAGGTTATTATTTAAATCCCAAATGTCAAATCATGAAGCATTTCATTAGGTAAGCTTAGATTATTTATTAAAAAACTAGTGAAAAGAGTAAAATATGTAGAAAATTATATATCACATATTGTTAAAGTAAGAATTTTCGTCATCGTTAAACCGGAAGTTTAATCAAACGAATGTAAATATTCTAACAAAGTGATACTAAATTGCTTGAAAATAGTTCTTAGGGTTATTTATTAATAGATCACATGAATTTGTTAATTATTATTTACAGAAATATTAATTGAACTAATGTTACTTCCTTATGGATATTGTGTGGGGGGGGAGGGATTGGATTGATTCGGAAGTCCCATGTATGAAAACAAAGCGAGTGGTAACTGCGAAAACTAACTAAGCTTAAAAGAAATTTGATTACACTAATGCCCAAGCCCTTTCAGGCATAGGAATCTGTAGCAAGCTGATTTCACGCCTTATCCCACAAAGGTCACTAAAACTGCTTACATTCTGGCACTTCATTGGTTGGTCTTCTCAGTAAATGCAGGATAATCAGTGACTTTCTCGACAACAACCAGTGCCCACACAATAGTCCATTGGATTGAGAGTTGGAGGAGGGGGGGGGGCATAGTTCGTAGGTCAAACATTATGAGTGACGTAATCGTAAGATTTACTCACATGTGTCTAATTCTGTTGCTCACGAACAAATAGCCTATTCTCGATTACCCTCATTCCTTATCCAGGACTTCACTACTACTAGTGCCTCTGTGACACCTATTTGTAAGATCTTGTAGTACCAAAGGTCTTCATTCAGTGCAAACCTCTTGGTTGAGTCTGGAAAAATTAATAATAGTTGTGATGACTAAGACCTCATTGTGATGCCAAGATGTTCAAACACTTTATTCCACAGACAGACCTCGAGGAAATGTGCTGTATAAGCGCAATCAGATCATATTGTCTATTAAGTTGATTTTATTAGTTGCGGTGACCTCGTAGTCCCCATAGCAACTCTGCAGTTCAGGGAACATTGAGCGGAAACGTTAATCCCCTTATTTTGCTGACTGCTCGAATTCACATGAAACAAGTTATTGTCTTTCATGGTTCCCGTGGGTTCTAATCATTCGTTGTCACTGATATCACTAATGTGACGAAGAGGCATTTGAAATTTTAACTGAACACTTGACTCATCCTTGGGATAAAAAAACCATTCGGTAAAATGTATTCGATCACTCTATTTTTCCATTCAAAATATATTTATGTATGTAATAAATTAAATTTGATTGTTTTTATCTAGCATCTTCCAGTAACTTCCGAAATTAAAATAGTCACTTTAACTGTATTCTTCTAAAAAAATTTCCACCTTCATAAACATAAATCCTATTTCACTTATATAGGGTAAATATAATGGGGTTTTAAAAGAGCCACTTTTACGGCGTTAAAATAAACGTTTTGTTTGATTCAACTTCAAGTGTGGAGCTCCTGGTTCTGTGAAGTAGCTGCTTCGAACTTTGGGACATTTGCTCATTGCACTGGGAGCAAAGAATTGGGACATCACCAAATTCGATCATTCTACTTTTAATTTCAATTTAATGAAACCTCAAACGCCAATGGCAAATTTGTTTTAATAAATTTATTCGTCGTGAAGTAATTTATGAAAATGTATCTTTTTATTTTTACTTAATGATTTACCAAGGTTGTTACTAAATACAAAATCCAAAACTTAAAAATTACCATCGAAACATCCGTTAGAAAAAATTAAACAATTTTTCAATTCTTTTTCATGGTTTTTTGATCTCTGTGGCTTCTGGTAAGTAAGGTGTTCAAATGTTCTCCAAAGTCACAGTTTTACCCATTTAAAGTGCGCGATTGCGCTAAAATCTGTGAGGGAAAATACCATTTTTCTCCACCTATCCAGATATACTGGGTAAAGGAAATTCTCATGGCTTGTCAATCCGCCAACATCGCTTTTTATGATGGAGCGTTGAAAGCAAATTTTACAGTAGGAAGGTGAAAATTTTCACTGCCACGTTTTGCACCACAGAGATAAATGAAGGAAATCCAAGTGAAAGCCATGCCAGTTTCTTTTTGGAAGGATAAGCACAAAACCACAACGTCTCCTTCTAAATATCACGATGACATGTGGGAATCGAAAGGGATACGCCTCATGTCTGTCTATGTGTGTGTGCGCGTGTGTGGCCTACAAATCAGCGGTTACTCCGTGAAGTCAAGACTGCTTCTGGGAACGGGATAATCCCATAAGCAGGGTGGATGTGGAAAGTAAAGGGGGGTGGGGGAAGAAGGTGGCACCCTCTTGGGGGTATTTGCTGCCAACTTATTGCCCCTGATAATGGTTGCACACATCACACACACACGCGCGCGCGCGCGGGAAACAGACACGCAAAAGCACAAAAGTTTGCCTATAATAATCACTCTCTCATAGATAGTGCGTGAAACAAAGTCCGGCTTTTGCTTTTGTCATGATTAATGCCTTCAAACGATGTGTGTGGAAGATTATTTCCACTAGGGTGACCGCAATGTTTTCTTTGGCACGTTTTTGCTTCTAAAACCACTGCTCAAAAAAGTGATTGGTTCCGTAATGACCTACCTCATTTACTCCTCACCTTTCCGAATGAAGATTTTGCTGCCTTAGGTTTGTTCCTTAGGTACAGATTTTGTAAGATAATATGTAATTAGTTGACACGATTTTAAGTTCATTTGGTGTGTAAACTCACTCTAAAAGTATTAGACATCAATGAAAATCAATGAACTGTTCGAAATCCAAGGAGTGTGTCCTTGAAGAGTGTTAATTAAATGGGTAAAAATTGAGAAGCAAATCACAACGGCAGATAATTTAGATATAGAGCAAAATCACTAACACAAATTAAGCTCAGTGGGCGGAAGTTAAATTCAGAGAATTAGATGACTTACATTAAGCAGTGGACCTATCACCAATTTTTAAGACTTTCTCATTAGTCAGCCGAAAACTGCATAAAAACATGCCACATTTGTTTAAGTTGAAGTTGAATGGATTTTTTTGAACTTTCCAGATTTTCACTACATTCAAAGCGTAGGTGTGGAAAAGACATGAGAGATGTTTAACCGCACTTAGAGATGAACCAACTTCGCGCGCAGACTTGAGACTTGAGACTAGAGAATGCACAGTCAAGTAGCCGCGAAGATTAATGCTTCGTGAGATTTTTGTTGTCTGAATGCAAATTGGTGCAAAACCTAGTTGGATATCAACCTCCATCGCATTAGAGTAAAATGTACTATTTGAAGGATTATACACGACAATCAGACTAACAAGATATCTCGAGCATTTATCAGAGCAAGATGAACAGCCTCCTTTGACTTGAGTGGTTCTTTACCAAAACTTGAATTTAATGTACAACAGCAGGTGTTTATATAATTCACGTTAAGCAAGTATTGGTCCAAACTAGGTTAAAAAATTATTTTAAATTCATTAGAAAGAAGATGCTAAAACTATTTGATTTAATTGAAGAATATAGATGAAAGTCAACTTTTGAGAAGGGTCGAGAGGGTTGTAATGATGCAGGATTTAGAGAGTGGGAAAATTTGACCTCAAGTTATAATTAATCTGATTATAGCCTTTCATTAATCCCTGAAACCTTTCGGGCGTTTTGAATAATTTGTTCCTATCCCATCTGTAAGTTCTACCAGTAATAAGTCAAATGCACAGAAGAATTTGTAGAGGTGAAACTTGTCCCAGACTTTCGCTTTTAGCCCAGTAGTTGGGAATTAATAAAGTAACTTAAAAGTGGGCAACTGGGGACACGACTGGGGAAAAGGGGATTATTGTCTCCCACTTGCAACGTTCCACAAGGATTTCCACTGTCCAACTTCCAAATGTTATTACTTTTTAGAAAGACAAGAGTGGTTGAAACGGTACACATGGGATTGTTGTTCAACATTTTTTAAATTCGAGTAAATGCAAATTTTATCAAAAAAAACTTTTAAAGTAACAACTGATTGTATTCCTTTGAAATAATTA